TCACCATTTTTTTTAAATCTCAAGATGTTATAAATCAAGTTGAGTCATATACATTTTGGCATTGCGCATTTCCATCATGATGTTCCAAACATGAAATATTTCCTTTCATTTCTTACAATCAGGTAACTGATGCCACTGCATTTTCTTTTTCTCCTGTGGTGTACAGTTTTCTTTTTGATGTTGTTGTTGTTTTAGGTAAGTTCATCCCTGCATATCACCTTGACTTGTTGTGTAACAAAGATCAATTATATTATTATTTAAAAAGATCCAAATCATGTCAAAAGTCGCCTCAAAGTGCTTTATATTGTAAGTTAAAGACCCTACAAGGAGATGAAGCTGACAACTGAGACCAAAAGCTGATTTTTTTTGTTTCTGTAGGAAGTAACAGCATGTGACATCCTGTTTTCTACTTCTAGAATATTTCTGATAAGTCAAAAGCACCTAACAATTATGCAAATGCTGAAAATTATTAGAAAAAACAATCCTTGTTTTGGCTTTGAGTTTTAGACGGTATTCTTCATTTAAAGACTACAAAGTCCTCAGGGTGGGGAAAAGGAGGACAGTGGACAAAGAAGAGTAGCTGCCAAAGTGGGGTGATTCAAGTCGGGGCAGCAGGAAGATGGCTCCCAGCATTATTTCTACAGAAGCGCTGACAGTTCCCAACCAGAAAATGTTCTTAGAAACCTAGACCTTTTCCTGCAGTCACTTATTTAGTCTTTTCCACTTCAATCTCAGTGGATCTTTGTGGAAACATAAGTGGGCCAAACGAAATGCACAAACTTTCTGAAAGAAAAAGAGCTGTACTTAGTGAACAGGCTACACACTGGGGCTGGGAATCAAAAAATGCTTCCAGCTGAGAAGCATCTGCAAATCTGCCCAATCCACTGGAATTGTATCATTTATTGTCTGTGCCAGCTTCTTTCTGACAGTTTGTTTTTGGTCTTTTGATTTCTAACTGTTCCTCTTTGCTACAGTATACTGTGTTCAAAGGTTTGTTTGGTCAGTGTGTCAATGCTGAAAAGCTGTGGAGGTCCACTTCATCCACACGTAAAATCAATCAAGCATCAATAAGGGGAACAAATACATAGAACCAGGTCAAGTACATTCAAATTCATATATATTCCTACAATGGAGAGGTGAGAAACGGTGAGACAGATTTACCTTACAAGTGCCTGTTGCTGTGATTTGGCATTTTATAAATAAAATTACACAGAATTGAAGAATTATCCTGCTTAGCTTTATTTGGGCCTCTGTGCTTTACCATAAGAGGTAATACTCTTAAACAGTCGGGCCGTTACCGGTCTGTGAGTCATTTGGTACAGGGCCGCAAGAGTTGAGGCTCGGGTGTGAAATTTATGGCTTTTATCGTTATTTTTTTTTTAAATCTTTTTTTCGTTAACTCGGTGTCCCTGGATCTTTTCTCGTGTGTTATGAATAACTCTTATTTTTTTGGTACCAGTACTGGTTTTGTTTTGTTGTATTTATACACGACACCTTAAAGGCCGGTCTGTGAAAATATTGTCGAATATAGACCGTGTCCGTGGCGCAAAAAAGGTTGGGGACAACTGGATGATCCAAGTAGCCTTGAAATACAAAAAAAAAAAAAAATTGGAGCAATCAAAGAAACTTTTGTCCTGCAGTACTACCAACTGTCCACTATTGGCTGGCACGATCTAACAATATTTTGCCTGCCCGAGTAGTCGGTCACGTGACTGAAAACTATAGATTCCCAAAATACAACTGAACAGCATGAATGATAAGATCCAATCACACATGGCCTCATAGCTAAAACCCACAAACTGTTGCTTTGTATGTTTTGGTGATAGTATTTGTGTCCTGAGCAGTTTTTAAATCTAAATCTTGTTGGGTTACATGTGTAGTAACCTGTCAAAATCTTTGACCGTGTGCGTCTCTGAGTTTTTTGTTGTCTTCTCTCTCCAGTCATTGTCTTTCACAGCTCACTGAGCTCAGCATATTGTTTAGCGGTGCATACTGCCATCTGGTGGTGTTTTCATGCAGTGTACAAAAAACATGACATCGATACAGAATCTGTTTAAAGAAGGAGCATCTGTTTCACTGCCATGGCTGTGATCACATTAAGACAGTGACAAAGCCTGAAGCCTGAGAAGAACAGCTGATGCTTTTTAAAACTTGCTTGAGGCAGCCACAGTAGCCACACTATGCTTACTGTATAAAACATGGTAGCTGTGTCATCAGACGTGTGCCTTTGTTTTCATTTAAGTCAAACCCTGTGATAGAAAACAGAGCCAAACTCAGTATCATCATGTTGCCTCTAAAACATGATATTCCCCTTAGAAAATCTTGATTGTTTCCGGATTTAAGGTTTAATCAGACCACTGATTGGTAAAAGATGACTTCCTTCTGTGCTGCTGATTGCATAAACAACAATGAAAGTAAATGTGTGAAGCAGAGAACCTGTTTTATCTTCTTTGCTCCGTTTTTTTTATGTGGTTTGGAGAAAATAACTCAGGCAGGAGCCATCTGTTGGTAATTGTGTCTTTAAAGTGTCTCAGAATAATAACCTGTAACTCTTGGGACACATTACGGTGCTTACATGTATAACACAAAGCAGCTAAGAGTAAAGGTTAAAGGGAACTGATCACCTTCTCAAATGTAAACATTAATATGATGGTCCAGATAAGTGGAGTCACACAGTTGATGTTGCTGAAGCCGTGGTTAATCTTATACAGAAAGTGTATAAACCAGTGAAAATCTTTGATATCTTTTTATGAGCATGGAGATTTCCCATCTGTAGATGTTGACCAGTTAAGCTGTGGTTGGATAATCCTGCCTTTATAAAGCCATTACTGGGGCAAATATATAAAAACTGGGATATATCCACGCTCAAACCCTTTAGTGGAACATAATAATGGAGACACGAGTCACCATTTTTAGCTGATATGCCATATGAACAGTGACATGCAACAGTTTTTACAAAATGTAGCCACGCCCATGACTCGTTTGATGTGGTGCTAATTTTTTTCGAGCCAAATTTGATTACAAGTTAAGAAAATCCAAACGTAATTGTGCCATCGCCATTAGGGTTGACCGAGTCCATGGTTCTGCAAATGTGTACGCAGGCAGTCCGTCCCTCCTGCTGTCAAATAATTCTAAGCGAGCCTGAAAGAGTACTGATAACTGATAACACTTTTCTCCTTAAACAATCAGCACAACTGTGAGACCAGTAACTTCTTGGTTGAATCAGAGGATAACGGCTAAACCGACTAAACCAACTAAACCAACTGAATCTGAGAGTGCAGCCCTAATGATCAGACATGTTTGGTACATCGGGTGGTGGGGACGTCCCCAGATGTTTAAAATCAGTATTAAATATGCCACAGCAGTTTTGGGGGATTCTCAGCTGGCACGAGGCTCAATTTTAAGTAGTTTTGAATACAAACAAATGTTGAACACTAAATGAAATTGTATATAATATGCAGAGTCAATGCTGGGGTCAGATTTGGTAATGCTATTAGCCTTCAGACATAAGTCTTTCTTGTGAGTGAGTCAGACCCTGTCATTGGCTAAGGCTTTGGCAGACCACCTTAGCATGATGCTGACACTGGGTTTCATTACTTTTAGAAGTTAGATGATGAAAGACATCTTTCCAAAACATGACTTGTTTGTAGCCGAAGTGAAATGTTTGTAATTGAGCACTGACTGATTAATAAGCAGTCAAAATGAGCTCCATCACTGTGTCACTGATAAGATAAGAAGCCCAATGGCACCAGCCACCTCCTGTTCCACCCTCCATCTGTTCAACTTTTAACTTCTTCTCTCCTTCTGATCTTTCTGTGCAGGCAAACTTGGCAGACTTTGACGGGCAGGTGACTGAGCCAATGATAGACTTACAGGACTTTTAACGAGCGCCTGCTGGGTCCTCCAGTCCGATTTACGAGGGCGTGTGCACCACACGGATGAGCCCGTGAACCCGGATGAGCACCATCGCTGCGATAAACCCTGTAAGAAGAGGACGGCCCCCCTCCCTGGTAAAGAGTTAAGCTGCTGCTCAGTGTGACACTGCTGGCACTGACTGTGGTTGCCTTTAATTTAGTTTACATAATTACATTTAACTCTATTGTCTTAAAGTAATCCAGTCATATGAAACTGACAGCTACTCTACATCAGCACACACCTACAGGAAAAACACTCAGTTATATATACTCTGTCCTTTTTTCTGACGACATGGAATGAAATGGTATGAAAACACGACCTACATGGTTTTGAATGAGGGTGGACATTTAAAATTCAGGACAGTGAGACGTTTTTGGAGGACAGGCAGGCTGCAGATTTACATTATCTGTAAAAATGTAAGTATTCCAACTTTTTTTCTTCTCATGCAGCTTTCTTTGTGATTAAAAAGAAGGACAGCTTTGTGTTTATTTCAGTCCCAGGTCAGAATCTCTGTATTCTCCTCAATAAATTCATGCATTCTCAGAATTTGTACACAGCAAAATCTCCAGTGTTAAATTAACACTTTTGACAGTGTTATATGTTTAAAAGTAACCTAGTCAGTTTTGAAGATTAACAATGGCTAACACTGAGCAGTGCTGATTTTCTAACACTGGAAAATAACTCAAAATGTTAGAAATATTAGAAATTAGAAATAACACAAAAAAACGACCTCATATTGAACACCTCGGAGACGAAGGAAATGATAGCAGATTTGCAATGATTCAGGCCTCTCCGCCATCATGTGAAAGTGGGGTGGATAAAGAGGTAGTAACAAAATATAAATATCTAGGCTTACACCTAGATAGCAAACTAGATTGGCCCTCAATACAGACAAGCTATGCTAAAAGGGGCACAGTCAGGTCAAGTTTATTTATATAGCACATTTCCAAACAGTCCACAGCTCCACAAAGTGCTTAACAATGCAAAATGCCTCTAAAGCAAATAAATGTAAAACAATGATGCAGTAAAATATAGAAAAAAATAAATAAGTCAATAAAAACAACTAAAAGAACAACTAAGGCTGTTAAAACCAAAATGTTAATGTTAAGTGTGTTAAATACCAGACCATAAAAATGTGTCTTCAGTAACGATTTAAAATGTGTTTGTGCAGATGCAATATTTAGGGGAAGACTATTCCAAAGTCTGGGACCTGCCACAGAGAAGGCTCTGTCGCCACATGGAATGGATAACATTAGTTTTGAACTGGACCTTGTGGTTTTCTCTGGAGCACAAATAAATAGGAGCTCTGACCAGTAAGAAGGAGCTCAGCCGTTAAGTGCCTTTAAAACAAAAAGTAAGAGTTTAAATTGGATCCTGTAAGTTGCTTCTTTTTGTTAAGAAAACTGAGATTTCTTGTGCTGTTCTATGCTGCAGTCTGCTGGGGAGGAAGAATCAGAAACAAGGATGCAAGGAGACTGAATAAACTAGTGAGGAAAGCTGGCTCTGTAACTGGAGCCTGACTGGACACACTGGGGGAGGTGGCTGAAAGATGCACAATAAAGATGTTGGAAGCCATCCGGAACAGCTTTGGTGACCAACTTTATAACATCCTTACAGAACAAGAAAACAAAAAAACCCTACCTCTCCATTGCATAATGCAGAGATACAGAAAATCATTCGCACCCACAGCCATCAGGCTTTTCAAGTCTCATTCAAATAGCAGGTGAGCTAAGTCAGACATGAATTTCTCTCTGGGATCAATGAAGTTATTCTTATTCATATTTACATTGACAAACAGTGCAGTCCCTCCACATTTCTGTGAATCGGAAAACTCCTGAAACCAGGTGCAGTGTGAGTGTCTCTGACTATCGCCTCCAGAGCAATAATGATAATGAGGACGAGCTTTGTGAATTCATTAAAATTGAATCATGTGAGCAGACCTGATGTTAACGCTCTCTGCACGTTAGCAACGTAAAATACTGGAGTGAGAGACTCAGTGATCCGTACTGTAGAAGCTGTACTGGAAGCAAAAGGTGCTCAACATGATGGAAATGAAACTGGCTGCATTTAAACCATGCAAACCATCAGATTTTTTAAAGAACTCAGAACTTGATGGGCTTCACGCTCACACCTCCTACTGAGTTGCTGAGCAGTTCGCTTCTTTTGGACGTTGCAGAAAATCTGTTGGAAATATGTGATTGTGTCCGAGAGTCTAGTGTTTGTGGACATATGTTCTGTGTTAGGAATAAGAAACTACGATACTGGCATTTAAGCTGGAACTGTACTAATAACTCATATCTGCTTGTGGAAGAAAGAATAGCCCACAGAGAATAATAAAGAATAAAGTTATCGCTTGCTGGAGAGTTTAACTCTGAGACTGCTGTAGTAAAGCGTCTTCTATCCACTGCTACATTTGCATATTTCACTTTGTCGTATTCTAAAAATAATGGAGCCGAGCGTTGTTACTGATTTCAGTGCTGCAGAAGTCATTTGTTCACTTATTGTGTGCAGTTATTTTTGTGTTATTCCAATAAGGATTGATTTTAACTATGAAATGAAACGATAACAGGAGTTGCAAAGTCGTGCAATATTAACAGGATGAAAAGTTGAGTTACCGTTGCCATTCTCGCTGTTTCACTTTCAGCTGAAGTTTCTACCCACTAGAGAATGTGAAAATCAATGAAACGGTGCAGACACAAACCCGCTGTATGTTACCTTGACATCAAACATGACATCAGACAGTTTACTCCACTGGGTTAAAAAAGGAGGTAGATAAATGAGTTTTATGCACCGGATGACAGTCCTGCTTTCCTGCAAGATACATTTAAAACGGTTTAAAAGACTCAAAAAAATAATCCAGTTCTTTTTTTAAAAGCAGAAAACAAGATTTAAAAGTTATTTTTAAAGGTTAACGCTCATCAATCTGTGGCAAGTTGCAATGGGTTCAGCAGCCCGAGGGTGACCGCACTGAAGGGAATTACACAAACTGGTAATAGAAGAAAACATTACAAAGAGTTCGCAATTAAAGTGCGTGTGTGTTTGTGCGAGAGCGCGGTGCAGAGAAACACTGACTTAGGGTAATGCAGCCTTAATAGCCACATTAGTTTCTTGCTCCGGCTGAATCGTTTGAAGCAACTTGGACAAGCAAATAGGTCCATTAGGTAGCTATAGATCTCATAACACACGCTGAAATGGGCCCCTGAGTACAGCAAACCTGCATTCACCTGCACACTTCACTTCTTCTGTTCTCACAAAATGCAAGATGCACAACAATGTGCAGATGCAGTTTGTCTCTCTGATTAATTAACACACACAAACACGCACACAGAGTCGCATCTTTTTTCCCACTGCCACTCCGCGTGTCATTGAAGGCTTTTCTATCACAACTAATTTGCTGCTGCCGCATTCACTGCTGCAGTGACAGGACTTTCCTAATGAGACAGAGTGCTCACAGTAATGGCAGGTGTGGACCTTGAATCAGAATTACAGTAATGAGATGAGCAGGCCTAATGGTCACAAGCAGAATAATAAGAAGTACAGACACAGGATGAGAGCAGCAATAATGAGAGTGAAGGCTGTGAGACGAGTCGGGAAAACAACAGAGCCACGGCAGGAGAAGGTGGCTGCTGTTGTTTTTGGGGACGTCATCTCAAGATTTTACACATCTGAAGGTTTCTTTACTGAATATTCAGCTCTGTCTGATTAAGTAACGTGAAAAAAAAGTTTTGAAGTTTAAGTTTAGTCATGAAAGCGTGGCCTACATACTGAAGAGGCTTCCCTCTCCACCTCTCACTTGTTTGTGCTGTTGAGTTCTGCTGTGTGACAAGATAACGGCCTCATAAATAGTCATCATTAGCAGTGAAGCTTCCGTGTTTGAGCTGATACCTGCAGAGCAGTTTGCGCTCAGTTACCATGTGAATGCAACAGTTTGGCGTTAGTGTGACAGCAAAAGTTTTTCTTAAATCATTACTATAGTTATTTCCCACCATTATGCAAATTCCCCTCGGTGCTGGAATGAGCTGCAGACTGCAGAATCCCTCATTAGCTTCATATGCTAGTCTCATCACGTGCTGTCTGACTAAACAGGTTTGTGAATGCGTGTTGCTGGTTACACATCCGTGAGGTTGTGGTCTTAATGGTCCAGTGTGTGGAAATGGGGCAGTGGCATTTAACTCGTTTTCGTTTATGGGCAGATGTATCCCAGTTTGGGCTCGGAACAGGAAACTCAACAATCTTTTGCCATTTTCAGTGCAAACTTTTAGCATTCTGTGCAACCCAATATTACAGCAAAGCATATAATAGACCCACTGGTCCATCATGTGGGTGTCATGCTTTACCTCCCATAAGTGTGAAATGTTTAAGTTGCAGCAGAGAGCTACAGTGAATTAAAACCAACAAGTCGTTATTGACCCTTTTTGCCAGGTAAGGTTAAGCTAGATTGCTGATCTGTATTGGGGAATGTTTCTTTGAAAGCTAAGGAGCTTGGAAAGAAAAGCGTCTGGACTTCTTTAAGTTGCTTGAAGACGTTTCACCTCTCATCCGAGAAGCTTCTTCAGTTCTAAGGTCAAATGGTGGAGAGTCCCAGATTTAAACCCAGTGGGAGTTTCCCCCCAAAAGAGGGACAAAAGCTGGCTTTCTTTGAAAGCCCATTGCTGTTTTTATGTTGGCTTTAAATTATCGCCCTCTGCTGGTACTGCAAGGCACTTCAAGCCTAGGAGAGACTTCCACAAGATGGACCAGCAGGTCTGTTATGCGCTTTGCTGTGATACTGGGTTGACCTGCAATGTCTGCAACGGTTCGCCATGGTCAGGTGTTAACCTTGTCTAATCCCACTGTGGTATGACAAACCCTCAGGGGTTACATAAAGTAAAAGTCAAACCATTATACTTTTGTTTTCTTCAGTTTTCATATACATCTGCGAGCCCAGGCTCAGAAATGAAAAACTGTAAAATCAAGAAAGCCCTAAATTTTCCATGTCGTGTAGAAGAATGGGGACTCATCATGCTAGAATCCCACCAGAAGAAAATTTAAAGCTTTTAAACAGGTGCTAGAAATGTTTTATTTCAGCCTAAACTCGATCTTCTCCTAAACCAACCAACAGTTCGACTAAAGAGCACTGGTTTAAAAATACAGACTTTAAGAAAAAAGTGAGCAGAAAATGGTAAAGCTGAGTAAATGAGAATGAAACAAAGGCTACAGTGGCAATAACAACATTTGTTTTAACTTCCTGCCTTTAAAGATGCTGTTTAATGGTTTTAAAGGCCACTGTAGGTAACAACGTGTACTCAGCAGTGTCATCTGCACAATGTCACAAAAGTTTACACATTGCCCTTATTAATATTATTAACATGTAAGATTTATGAAGCTGTGCACAAGTTATAACATATTAATATTAAAAATGCATTAATGGAGGCGTAAGCGTGTTGACAAAGAGAAATACAATGAGTATGACAACAGAGCCTTGACATTTCTTCCAGTGCGTTTTCTGATGCGTCACAGAGGCTCAAAGATCAGAGAATTGCGTTTGAGACGAGAGGTTGTTCGTTTCTGCTAGTCATTACCATTGCTTGAGCCCAAGACCAAACTCTTGAACCTGCTCGGTGGCCAACAGGCTGCACTGCGGTCTTAGAGGAAGTCCTACAGATACGACTGTCTCATGGACAATTTAAATGGAACAGAGAAAAAGTAAAGTTGTTGAGATTTGTTTGCCCAAACTAGCGTTTCTTGCTGATATGTTGTTTGCTATTAATTAAGCACTTGTATGATGTGTTGGTGTTGTCTGTACCCCACACCAGGACAGTCATTAGGAAACCCACCAATTTGACCTGCGACTCAGACAGAGGTTGCAGTTTGAAATGCCCTCGCAGCAGAAAGAGCAGCTTTGGGAGTTTGGCTGTAATGGGCCTGTAACTACCACGGCCACAATTGCAATGATAAAGTGGTCACACTCAAACTTGAGGCTACTGCAGTCTCCGTAGAGCTGAAATTACTGAGGTCTGGTTATACAAGATTCATATCCCAATATACTTAATGATGATGCATGATATAAATCTCAGTATCCTCTGTGAAAGGAAAAGTTCAGAGGCTGCTGCGTCAGTTTTAGGAAACATAGTTAAACCGTTGTCCATCTTTCTTTGTGCAGTTTAAAATGATTCCAGGTTCATAATTATGAGAACTGCTTCACTGGGTCAACTGTTTTCACTCATCTGGGGATATCTCAGCTTCTTTGCTGTGGAGTTGGATGTGGTTCTGGTCAAACGTCATCGTTTTCCATACATTGTCGTTATCACACCGCGGCCTGCGTATCACATTCATACATAAACACTAATGGATGTGTCTGGAGTAATGTGGGGTTCATGTTGACCAAGAGTGCTTCGACTGTAGCGATCTACCAATGAATAAAAAGCTGGTACTGCCCGCCGTGTTATGGACACAAACTGCAGCACGATGGATTTCAGGCAGATATCCTTAAATTAGGTGGAGGCCATGCAATAATTATATTCACATCTTCACTCCTTTACCTGTTAAGGAAGTGAAGCTTTTATACTCCAGACTCAGTTATATTAAAAAAATGCCATCTTATCAAACTCAGAATGAGTGATGAGAGAAGAGTGGAGAGCTACAAATGTGCAAAATTGTTAATATTTAAATGTTTTGATCATAATTCAGTACTGAAGCACAACCAGTTATCAAAAGTCACGCCGTGCTTCCTTTGAATGCTGAATATTTCTTTGCAGTGATAAGCTTTTTTTAGCCTCCGTCTCCTCAGCTTTTCTATAAAATAATGCAAACAATTTATTTTATAGAAACTTTTAGTACACCACTGCTGCATCAAGGTACCTAAAGTCCAGCCATTCAGATGCTGTAAATATAAAGAAGACTGGGAAAAGGGCTGTCTGCTCCCTGGAGCTGTCTGGCCAAAGCTCCATGAATACTGAGCTTGCGAAGAGTTTCAGGCAAATGCCATAAATATAACCGTAAATGTAAACATACTGTTGCTGCTGTTGAACTTTGAAAACACTTTTGGAAGCAGAATAGCTCTTAATGTGTGTGGCGCTCCCTCTTCCCTTCGCTGTAAACTCAAGGTCAACAGACATATTACAGTCCTGACAGCAGCGGTGGACTCAGCCAAGGGACCGAGGACACATCCGGCTGCCGACAGGCTGCTTGGCCTTACTGGCTCCCTCTCTGTGTCGCTTTATAACTTTATTGATCTGGACAAAGCAGTGGAGCAGACAGGCCTATTACAGTGCACCCTGTATACCGCTGTGTTTCTTTCATGGTCATTCAGTGGAAGAGGTGCAGCAATGCCTCTACAGTGATGGGCACAGGGGAGCAAAATGAGGTTTTATTCTCAACAAAATTATATGTATATTGAGAAATAATGCAGAAAAAATCTAATCTAGCAGAGAAGAAGTAATCACAGTGCTATAGTTTCTGGATTCTGTCATTTGAGGGCTGAGCGTTAGCGTTTTGGATGCCATTGTTAGTGTGTGGAGTCAGAGTGAGCTCATAAGCTTATATTAGAAAGCTTGGTTAACACGCTGCATTCAGAAACACATTCCTGCTAATAAGTGCTCAGTAACACACTGATAAAATGCTGCAAAATCACCAAAGATGAAGCACAACATTTGTGTTTGTACAATTAACCACAGGACAAGCCAAATTATTTATTAGCTTTTATTAAATTTGGTTAAAAAAAATCAGCGGTCGACTCAGATGGAGCTGAGATCTAGCAGGTAGCCTTTGGCTCAAGCTGCCTGTATCAATCAAAGAAGCCACGCCCCTGACAACCAGTATCCTGGTGGATGAGATACAAAAACAAACAGTTCATGTGAAAATGTAAAATATCCATAAAGGTGTTTTTTTTTTTTAGATGTACCTCTCAACATTTATCTCTTCTGTAAAGCTGGCCAGTTTAAAACACCTTTTAAATGTGTGCTCGTTACTTCTGTTTCACCTCTGATATTTGAATCAGTAATCCGACACGCTGGCACTTCTAAATGTGAGCACAATTAACATTAAAGTCCCTGCTCTTTTCTGACTTGTCATATTATTTAATGTCAGCAGCTTCAAGGCTTTGGCTGTGCATTTCCTGCTGGCTGTGCAAAAAAAACTTTGGCTACGAGTTGGACTGTCAAACAAAGCTACGGTTTGTCAATTATAATGGTGCTTCTTCAGCAATAACACACATCCACTTTTGATGATAGAGTAGCAAATAAAATGCCTCGAATGGGCTACACCTCTCCTCCGCACATCACCCCACCCCCACCCACAACCCTTCATCTTCTCCGGAGGTGTTGTTAGCAAAGAGAAGGCGCGCAGGAGGCTGAGTGAGCGTCCACATTTTACAGCCGTGTGAGAACTTTGAAGAATTCCTGATGCTCTTGCACAGCAAGACTGTGAACCCAAAATGTTGCACAAATGATGTTATGATGATGGAGTTTATTTCTAAAGGCACAAGGCTCATTGGTGTTATTATTCAATAGTTGTGCTGAGTCAGCAGTTGTTTTAGTTTTGTTTGGGGAAATCAGGGGAATATGTGCTTACGGATGCTGTTATTATTTTAGCCCTTCAGACCCCCACAGGCAATCGAGGATTTAAGACTAGATACTATTTTAGTCCAACATTTCAAAGTAGACGTCTGGTGCAACAACATCTGGATGGATGGACAGAAGACACTTTTAAGAACTCCAGTTCCATAGATCTGTATGTAGTTGAATTTAGGTGACCAGAACTGATGGTAGTTCAAATCTTAATTCCAGAGGCTGTTCCTCTGTCCTCCACAGTGTGGGCATTATATCTTCCCTGCAGAGTGACTTGGGGCATTGCCTGGAGTTCATGGTTTATGCTGGAGTTCCATGTGAACTCCAAGTGAACCAAAATGCGTCACGTAAGAATGTTCAGTCATTCGTTTGCCAGGAAGAAGGTGTTCTGCACTATTGGAGAACATGAAGAATTTATGTTCATTTCACAGCTAGTATGTAGCCCGTATAGATTTTTGCACATCTGTAGTACCTCGTTGAATCCCAAAATACAAAGCATATGTTTTTAGCTAAAACTTGGAATGTACCCCTGGTGTTGGTTCAGATGGAGGTTGGATCACATTCCCATCATTCCCATCAACCACTCTGGAGTTCATTTGGAACTGCACTGAGACCTTGTTTTGGTCTGTACCCGAGTGCGATCACTGTGTGCACCAGAGAACCACACCAAGGGGAAAATGAGCCAGAGTTCAGTTAAAAAAAACAACTAGCAGTTAAGAAAACACAATGAGCACTTTGAATACATTTCTGATAGCTGCTGCTGCTTTCTTCTGTGATGTTTTGTGGCTTTGACTTGCTTTGTTTGTGTTTTTTGTTTAGCTGGCTCTGTTTAAGGTTTCACTCCAGTTCCACACCAAACTGGGTAAGCTATAACTGGCTTGACGTTGTGCCACAAAACCAGAAACGGTCAAACCCAAACTCCATTTCTTGTTCAGCTTCACGTTTCTGTGTTAGTTTCATCACTTTCATCAGTTTGTTCATTCTATTCGTAAACCTATGTTACATTTCAGAGTGTGTCGGCCTTCTCTGTGTCTGTGTCAAGTTTTCATGTTCTTCTTGTGCATCCATGAATTTCCTTCAGGTACCCGCTCTGCCCAGAGACCAAAGGCATGTATGTTAGGTTAGTTAGTGATTCATTGCCAAAGCAAGAAACCCTTCACTACCTTTTAGGTACTTCTGAACCGAAAGACGAAACCTCTCAGGAGAAAATATACTGGATGGGGCAACAAGATGTAAGGCACCATCAGTACAAAGAGATCCCGGCATGCTCGCTGGGCGGGACTTTTTTCACAATCCAAATGCCCATTTTTCGATTATTATATTTCTGTAACATCGCAGGTTCGTCATACCTATCTCGATACTTCATCCATTAGTTTGTGCTCTATTTTTAGTATTTATTTTGTATTATTTAACATTTTCATGTTTTTATTTCTGTGTTTCATTTTCAATATCTGCCTTCTAATTTCTGTTTCTTATTTGCATGCAATTGTTTTGTCTCACTGCGGCATCAGTCCCATAAAACATCACACTCTTATTATTTCAAAGCATTTCTTCACAATGGCTGATTTATTGCGGAGGTATCAGAGCTGCTCAAACAGTGGATGAGCTTTGTGTAGCTTCTGTTTGGTTCCCACCTCCTCGTTGTTTAGTTTGTTAGAGATAATCATGTTTATTTCAAGGTTTTCTCACAGTGTTCTCAATTAAAAAGAGTCTCAGTTTCTCAGTGTGGTTAATATTTTCTTTATCTTTCACTCAAAGCATTCATTGTCAAATATGAATTCGTGGCAGCAGAGATGATAATTCTAACAGCACATTCATGGGTGTGTTTACTGTATGTCATTATGTGATGGCATGCCCGCTTTTCACCGATGAGAGAAACACTTCCATAATTCTTTTCCCTGGTATTTTCTATTATCATTTAATTGGCAGCGGTGCGCAGACACAGTCATACTGAGTTCAGTATTGAACAGCAGTCCCAACGACACAGTGCGCCTTCATAGTTTTTCTCTGTCTGTTCAAGAAACCGTAAATAACCAATCAAATTGAGAGCTCTTCAAATTCTTTTCATCAGCTGAATGACCACTGGAGTGACAAGTCAAACAGTACACTGATGAAACACGCACATACTGTAAATTTACAGACAATACACTGTTTTCAATTCACAAGGTTAATTATTCCTGATTAAAGAGAGTTCAGCTAAGCTGTCTCAAAGGCAGACACTGGTAACACTGGTGAGCCCACCGGTGGAAAAAAAGGGGAATAGAAAAGAGTGGAAAGCTGTTTATGAAAGGTGTTTCTTAGGCGGGAAACCCTTGCAACTCAAAAGGTGCTGTTCTGGTGAGCCCCAAAGGGCTTTCTGAGCCTCCTGCATGGAGTATTTCTCTGCAATCACAAACTCTGTGTAAACAATCTTGGTATCAAAATGAAGCTAACAGATTTCATCAGAGGTTTAAATACTGCAGCAGTTGTTACTGTGTCAAAGTTACTGAGGCTAGAACACAGATAATCAGTAATCAACATTTAAACATCATCTGTGCCAAGATTTATGATTCCATGGTGGTCTTCTTTTGTGGCTGGTTCACTGGATTTTGGTCAGAGCGTGTTGAAACTTGGAGTTTGGGGATCTGTGAGAGCCCAGCTAGCTAACCAGGCTTTGGTTCCCTTTTTACATGAAGTCGGGAGAGTTCATGGCTCCGTTGTGTGTGTTTAGAAGACTTTTGCACAATTACGTAACTACACTTTTAATCATTGCTTGTTCTCACTGTGTTTGGTTGTTGTAGAAATGGTTTATATGAGCGTTTAGATTCTAAGGTTTTTGTGGATACCCCACATGTCAATATTTGCGTAAAAAACTTCATGCCACGGAGAGTTGCATACCTCTCAAGAGGTTTGACTAGTATTAAAATGATGCCTGCAAGCCACTCTGCAACCCAATTCCAGCTCTAAGTTTCCATTTAGTTTCTGTGTCTTTTATTAAACTTAACTGGAGAAGTTGTTTCTTTTCTTCCAGGTTTACATTTCCTTAAGGTCTATTTTCTGTTCTATTCAGTTTTCTCTCTGTGCACCCAGTGAGTAGGTGAAATTATTTTGGTTCACCACTGAAACACCAACTGAGCTCTGGTCGTCTTACACTAGATAAACATGACAGGTTTTATAGTTAGCTTCTCAGCTAATTCGTTCATGCAACTAAAATCTGTGGTCGTCTTAGCATCCCTGGATTTGCACGCTGCAATGAAAGCTCAGAGAAATTTGGTTCTAATGTGGGATCTCAGTCCTAATCTTACGAATTAGTGAGGATAACTTAATAATGGCAAAAATCTTAACCTAGTTTTGTGGCTGTCTCCCACTGTTTGTCGACTCTGCTGCAGCGGGATGTGTGCTGTAAATGTCAGAGCAATTTTTCATTCTTCATCTGTGCCAAAATGAATTCCTGAGGCCTGACTGTTTGGCAGTAACAGCAGCCTGATCTGCTGCTTGGCTTTGCTTTTGTGTGCTAATGCCCCCCTGAGGAGCCCCAGCAGGTCTGTGTGTGGTGGCTCAGTGAATGTGAATGTCATGGTAATTTTACACTTTATTCCTAAAAGGATGGAGTTATATACTTCGCCTATCTATATCTGCTGAGATTTCATCAGACAGTGGTTCATCTGTGCACATTTCTTTTGTACGTCCTGACCAGAAGAATGTGATCTGGCTTTTTTCAGTTATTCTTCCTGAGAGAGAATTTCTACATCTGTCCTACTCTAAGACACTCAGGAGAATCTCACATGGATTGTACCACATGCTGGTTGTATATTGATAAAAACATTTAATATTTTGCATGGTTTGAATAATGTAACTTGATAAAAATATAATCCAGACTCAGAGTCAGAAGTGTCAGCATGTTTTAAACTAAACAAGTTGCATGAATATGAAGCTGATGTGGATAAAACTGCAGTTCCTCTGGATGCCACCTGAGGCTGGCTTCAAAAGTGAGTCGTCCCCACAGCCCTGTTAAAATGCCTCAATTTTTAATGCATTAAAACGTATTTATATGTTTTGGTGTATTGATGGTCAGGCTTTAAGTTATGAAACAGTCCAGAAAGAAACCCAGTGCCAAACACAACAGGCAGGATAAAAGTTCACTAAATCTTCAGTCCAGCTCATATATGATCATGTAATGAAAACAACGGGAATACAACGAAACAAAACTTGAAGAAAGACTTAAAACAGTTTAAAGACGAGTGTCAGGGAGAGCAGTGGAGAATATGAATCCTGTAATTAAGTGTACAGACTGTTCTCATCCATGCTGTGTGTCTCAGTTAGGCCCACATCACTCAACCAAGAAACACGAACAGTCTTTTGCACGTGTAATCCTCTGGCCTCCTGCAGAGACACCTGAATTTTCTCTTGCCATTTATATAAAGAGTTACCTGACATCCCATCGGATTTATACTGCAGTAATTGTTGTTCCCTGAGAGTCATGTTGTATCAGAAAGCTTTGAATTGTATTCATTTATTGTAGAATAATTCTGCATTGTCGTCCTCTATAATTGTGACATTCGGGTTGTGGTGAATATGAACCGTTTCAGTGTTGTCTCTTCTTATTTTAACAATGTTTACAGCAACATATATTTGGAACTTGCAGAGCCAAATATTCACACACGCAGTGTTCTGACAGTTTGGTGTATCCCTCACCTTGACGTGACCTTGGGAGCTGCGCTATTTATTTTGGTGCCTATAGCACAGAGCACAGGTGGGCGGAGGGACGCTGACATGAAGCAGCAGGAAGACAGCTGCTGGGGGTTCTTGTGGAAAAAGTATCCCAGTTATGATGAGAATAGAGGTGTGGCAATCGTGTGTCTTTTTAGGTCAACGTCATTCTGTTACAGGTCGAAGCCATCTTTACAAAATCTGTAGAAATAGGAATTGAATGTGTTACGTTGCTCTGAAAGGGTCCAGGCGATTAGGAAAAGTAACAAAAAGTGTCTGGGTCAGAAAAATGAGACAGAGAGGCAAAAATGGTTAAATTAAGGAGTTTTATTAAAGTTTCTATTAATAACTCAACTAAAAGAGACGGACAAGTTGCTATCACCATTTAAAGAAACAAAACAAAACAAGCGTTGGTCAGTAAACTGAAAAGTAACTAAAAAGGATTCATTGCCAAACACTCGCCCACACAGGCCCTAACCCAGCCAGGGCCGTGACAAATGTAACAAATCTCCCAATGTAACAAATCTCCCAATGTAACAAATCTCCCAATGTAACAAATCTCCCAATGTAACAAATCTCCCAATGTAACAAATCTCCAAATGTAAATGCAAATCTTTTAAGCAATATGCTTTCTCGACATCTGCTGATGACACAGGAAACCTCCAAAACCCCCTTGTTGCCCCTGAACGAGTTTTGAGTTCTGCTTGTAATGATGCTTATATTTGAATATGTGAAGTCCGAGTACTGGCCAGTGAACCCTCTGATGTCTAAATTATAATTCCTGAGAAGTAGCCATCACCCTAACCCCTAATTTCCTACATTTTGGAGAAAATTAAATGCTAAATGAGCAGTGACAGGGCTCTGTAAGTTGTTGCTAAACCCTCCTTTAGTTACACTGCAGTGGGCCTGGGCTGCTGGAGGCTTCCCCAGTGAGGTGAAATGAACGCAATTACTGAAAAAATGTTTATTTGGAAAAAAGCGATTAGTTGTAATTTGTCAACAGTCAGCAGAAATTTAAAATGATTTAAAAGCTGATAAATCTCCAAACATTGATTGTGTTCATCTGGACGTAGCGTTTTCAGTGGGAGGAACATTTCCTCACTCATCCAGAGGACTTCTTCACCCTCAGCTACCTGCAGCTTCAACCATCCTTTTTAAAACAAAACGTTTGCA